GTGGAGCTCTCTGTGGGGCCGCGAAACGTGTGAGGGGTGTGCCACAGTCGAGGGGGGCGGCGTGCGAACCATGCCATTGGGGCCTTCGGTGGAGCTTCCTATGGAGCCGCGAAACGTGTGAATGGTGTGCCAAAGAGGAGGGGGGCGGCAAGGGAACCATGCCGCTGGGGCCTTCGGTGGAGCTCCCTATGGGGCCACGAAACGTGCGAGGGGTGTGCCAAAGTGAACGGGGTGGCGGCATGCGAATCATGCCGCTGGGGACGGCCTTGGGTGGAGCCCCCTGTGGGGCCACGAAGCGTGTGGTGAGGTGTGCCGAAGTGGAGGGGCGGCGGCATGCGAACCATGCCGCTGGGACCTTCGGTGGAGCTCCCTGCGGGGCCACGGAACGTGCGAGGGGTGTGCCAAAGTGGAGGGGGTGCGGCATGCGAACTATGCCACGGGCTTTCATTGGAGCTCCCTCTGAGGCTGCGAAACGTTTGAGGGATGTGCCAAAATGGACGGGCGGCGGCATGCGAACCATGCCGCTGGGACCTTCGGTGGAGCTCCCTGTGGGGCCACTGAATAGAGTGAGGGGTGCGCCAAAGTGGAGGGTGGGGGGGGGGCTGCATGCGGTCCATGCCGCGGGGCCTTCAGTGGAGCCCCCTTATGGGGCCATGAAAAGTGTTGAGGGGAGGGGGTGCGGCATTCAGCTGGGGCCTTCGGTGGAGCTCCCTTTGAGGCCACGAAAAGTTGTGAGGGGTGTGCCGAAGTGGAGGGGGGGGCGGCATGCGAACCATGCCACTGGGACCTTCAGTGGAGCTCCTGAAAGGGCCACGACAAGAGTGAGGGGTGTGCCAACGTGAAGGGGGGCGGCATGCGAACCATGCCGCTGGGGCCTTCGGTGGAGCTCCCTGTGGGGCCACGAAAAGTGAGCGCGGCGTGCCCAAGTGGAGGGGGGGGCGGTATGCGAACCATGCAGCTGGGGCCTTCGGTGGAGCCCCTATGGGGCCACAAATCGTGTGACGGGCGTGCCGAAGTGGACGGGGGGCGGCATGCGAACCATGCCGCTGGGGCCTTCGGTGGAGCTCCCTGCAAGACACGAAACGTGTGACCGACGTGCCGAAGTGGAGGGGGGGGCCAATGCGAACCATGCCGCTGGGGCCTTCGGTGGAGCCCCCGATCGGGCCACAAAACGTGTGAGGGGTGTGCCAAACTGAAGGGGGGCGGCATGCGAACCATGCCAGTGGGGCCTTCGGTGGAGCTCCTTGCTGGGGGCACGAAGCGTGTGGGCGGTGTGCCAAAGTGGAGGGGGGGCGGCATGCGAACCATGCAGTTAGGGCCTTCGGTGAGCAGTGTCCCACTTGGGGGGGGCGCATGTGAACCAGGCCACCGGGGCCTTCGGTGGAGCCACCTGCGGAGGAACGAAAACGTGCGAGCGGCGTGCCAAAGTGGAGCGGGGGCGTCGTGCGAACCATGCCGCTGGGGCCGTCGATGGAGCTCTCGATCGGGCCACGGAACGTGTGAGGGGTATGCCAGAGTGGAGGGGGGGCTGCATGCGAACCATGCCATTGGAGCCTTCAGTGGAACTCCCTATGGGGCCACGACAGGTGCGAGGGGTGTGCCGAAGTGGAGGGGGGGGGGCGGGCGGCATGCGAACCATGCCACTGGGGCCTTCGGTGGAGCTCCTTGTGGGAGCACGAGGCGTGTGAGCGGTGTGCCAACGTGGAGGGGGTTGGGGGCGACATGCGAACCATGCCGTTGTCGCCTTCGGTGGAGCTCCTTGTGGGAGCACGAAAAGTGTGAGGGGTGTGCCAACGTAGAGGGGGCGGCATGCGAACCATGCCACCAGTGGAGCTCCCTGCGGGGTGTGCCGAAGTGGACGGGGGGCGGCATGAGAACCATGCCGCTGGGGCCTTCAGTGGAGCTCCCTATGGGGCAACGAAAAGTGTGAGGGGTATGCCAAAGTGGAGGGGGGGGCGGCATGCGAACCATGCCGCTGGGGCCTTCGGTGGAGCCCCCTATGGGGCCACGAAATGTGTGAGGGTGATGCCAAGGTAGAGGGGGGGGTGGCGGCATGCGAACCATGCCGCTGGGGCCTTCGGTGGAGCTCCATATGGGGCCACGAGGGGGGGCCTTCGGTGGAGCTCCCTAACGGGCCTTCGGTGAAGCTCCCTATGGGGCCACGGGAACTGTGAGGGGTGTGCTAAAGTGAAGGGGGGCGGCATGCGAACCATGCCGCTGGGGCCTTCAGTGGAGCTCCCTATGGGGCCACGAAAAGTGTGAGGGTGATGCCAAAGTGGAGGGACCGAATTGCGAACCATGCCACTGGGGCCTTCAGTGGAGTTCCCTGTGGGGCCAGAAAGCGTGTGAGGGGTGTGCCGAAGCGGACGGGGGGGCGGCATGCGAACCATGCAGCTGGGGCCTTCGGTGGAGCTCCCTGCGGGGCCACGAAAAGTGTGAGGGGTATGCCAAAGTGGAGGGGGAGCTGTATGCGAACCATGCCACTGGAGCCTTCAGTGGACCTCCCTATGGGGCCACGACAGGTGCGAGGGGTGTGCCGAAGTGGATGGGGGGGCGGCATGCGAACCATGCCACTGGGGCCTTCAGTGGAGCTTCCTCTGGAGGCACAAAGCGTGTG